GGGGGGGGGGAGGAAAAGAAAAACCAGAGCAGGTAAACATTTTGAATTTTCACCTTAACTTAATTTGACAGAAAAATTCTGCGGATTTCTGTTTGCTGTCTTTTTCCAAGCAGCTCCATAAAAGCAGTAGCTCCAGCCTTAATGCTATTCTGTAGAACAGTGGTCCTCAAACTGTTTTGATCATGCAACCCCATCAGCAAAAAAAGTTTGAGTCCTCCCCAGTATATGTACTTATATTTCTTTATAAATGATACAGACATGTACTAGTGACATTCTATCATGTTATTGCTGCATCCCAATAGACCATCTTGCACACCCCCTGGGGCACACACCCCCCCCCCCCCCCACCACAGTTATAGAACAGGGACCTACAAATCTCAGCATGGTTAACTGGACTGCAGCACCACTTACGGTTGCGAGTGTGCCGTCTCATAGCGTTCGAAGGAGTGGGACAGGTCGTGCTTGTTGTTCATGTAACACTGTGTGCACAAGTCATAGTCAAAACACATTTTGCATTTCCACCGCATCCCCCGTATGCCATGCTTCTTGCAACAGTCACAGATGATGTTAGGGTGACGGACACCTAGGAGAAACAAAGCAAAGGAATGTAACCACAAAAACCCCAGAGAAACCAGGCTGACCAAGCTCTTAGATTGACATCAGCATGTTTTAAAGAATCACGTACTGTGCATGTATTGGAGATGATGCAATAATATAATATGAAGTGATATGTGTAATATGAAGCACCCATTTTCCGGCTTAAGGGACTCCCATCCTAAAAGTCATGCCAGAATCTAACAGAATGACAAAGTCAGGAAAACTGTTAGACTCACAAATAAAAAAGAAAGTGGAAAGAAAAGCCTTTGCATAGAGGCACACAGGAATCTCATTGCCATGAACTGGCTGAGCGAACAGCGCTGCTCAGCATCAGTCCACAGGCAGCTGCAAAAGGCTTAACATTCCAGCTAGCATGTGAGGCAGGTGCCACATACGCTAAAGGAGATGGGTTTACAGCACCAGTGCTTGTGCTTCTTGTCCTGCTGTACTTACCTATCTGTGCGTTATCATACAGAAGAAGGTCGTAAGCCCCTTGGAATCCAGTCCGGTAATTGGTTCTGTTGCCTTGATCCCACTGCACGACCACAGTCTTATCTGGAGTGGTTGGGCTGCCTGTCCGACCAATCTCGACCACAGTCCCAACATTCCCTTCGCCGTTGTCCTGGCTGCCCCACTTCCAGTCCACTCCACGAACTACCCGCATCCCAACCTGCATGCTGGCATAGGGGTCCACGTCCATGGATCTGCACAGCAACCCCTAAAACTCTTCCACGTAAAGGGTTTTGGAGACGGGCAGTATCATCAGCAACACATTCAGCAGCAGCAGCAGCATGTTCAGCACACCTAGTAAGACAACAAACAATTAAGTGACGCCACTCAACACATCACATTTTCCCCAGAATGACCTGGCTACACAAGAGGCCTGACCTGCTGAGTAGATAACTCTGTTCTCTATTTAAAACAGGGATCCTCACAGTTTTAGCGCAGATACGCAAACCAGCCAGACTTCCAAGGCACAGAAACATCTGCATAATATCCAAAAGACTTATTCCAGAGCGCTGGGCATGAGGGAAAAGAACTGGGCAAGAAGTCTTTGTAAAACTCCAGTACCAGTCCTTGATTTCAAACTCAGGAATGTGTGCAACAGCTACCGGAGACACAATGGCAACAGAAACAAAAAAGCACAGTAAATAGAGCTGAAATAAATGACCAGGAAAACACCAACAGCATCACTGTAGCAATACAAAGTCAATACCAGTCTATTCTTCAGGAAGACTCTCCATACGCCTTTTAACAGAAAACACTGCAGTGTTGAGTTTCACTTGCCCAGAAAGTTAGTTTTGGTTTCGATTTTGGGATACAGGAAGTTTTAAAAATGCATACGAAAGAAATGTTTGCCTGTTTGAAAGAAGTAATAACGTGGGGTTTTTTTTAAGTGCTCATGTCAGAAAAATGCCAATCTTTTGCTGCTATTTATCAATGCCAGCTATGGCAGGAACAGATTATTGCCTACTTGCAATAAGCACTGCAGATTTTGTGCTGGGATCAGTAAAAGCTTGGGATAGCCTTTCCAGCTGTTGCCATGACAATTGGCAAACGAGGTGAACGCCAAGTGGACGCAGCACATCCACAACTTTCAACTAAATCAAACAGATTGTCAAAGCCTGGTCTACCTCTTACACCAGAACGACAAGATAGAGGAGCGTGGCTTTCACTATTTAGGGCCAAGCTGCTGCTTTGACTTCTGGAAAAATCTACTGCAACATCCTTTCATCTCTGGGCATCCTCGGGTCTCACTCTTCCTCTCAAGCTATCCATAACACACAAAATTTTCTAAACGTTTGGAAAAACAACCACCCCAACAGAATGCCAAGGGCCAAATAGTGCACATTCCAGAAGTACAGCGATTCTTACCAAGAGCCATGACACAGAGCCAGTTCAAACCAGGCTGACAAACCCAGTCTCGCCAACAAGCTCACAGGACGTGTCCTCAGACACGGCAATAGGAGCAGCCTTGTGCCATGTGACGTGCTGTTAACGCTACTGCCCACCAATAAAGCAACTGAAACCACTGAGGCCTAAAAATAAACTCTTCCTCCAGCCAAACATCCCCGTTTAAATGTATGGAGGAGTAGTTTGATGCAAAATCAAGTTTCTAGCGTGCAGAAAGAGCCTGATTTCTGTTCAGCTTTAGCATCTTTCTAGCTTCAGACTTTTCCTGCTACGCATCACTGTGACATCCAAACGCCTGTCACACGAGAGCAAGATCAAAACCAAACGTCCTTGTGAACGTCATGTCATCTTTCATTCCAATCATCACTACAAGGTGCCTTGGGCGACACTTTCGTTTAGACTTCCTTTGTGGAGGTGGATGTAACATTGCCGAGTTTAGGGTGCAGTGGTGTTTTATTGTCTTTATGAAAGCAGAAATTATCAAAAAGAAAGAATATCCTTTCTAGAAAGCACTGCAGAGCCTAATGAGATTTGTACGATCCCCTCTTCCTCCAGATCAGAGACGAATAAAGTGGACAATCTATTGCTTTAACTAAGAGGCAGAACTGTTTGGGTTTTTTAAAGGCTGCTACCAACCAGTCAAGACAGTCACACCCACGGGCAGAGAAAACAAACGGAAACATCCAACGATACAAAGGTACCAGAGAAGCACATTTCGATTATTGCTACATGGCCTTTCAATGGCAACAACCACCCCTCCTGTTCCAGCCAAGTGAACCGGTGGAAGGTGGCAGGAGGCAGTAACACTGGGAAAAGGAATTGCATACTTAGAGAAGGAAATAACAGATACCACAGGGTTCTTCAGATAACAACAGAGTGCCACTCTCCAACCTTAACAGCTTTATGCTATTTCAGTGGACCTCCCCCCTGTCCCCAGGAATGAATGAAACATCACAGGCTTCAGAACTCTCAGCATTTCAAGGAAGGCAATGCCAGCTCCAAAAATTATTCATCATAAAAGAATATTCTAGTCTGTGCCACAATTTAAGTCACTGCAGTATAAAGGAGGATGGCGATCCCCTGCTACCTGAAAAGAGCAGAGCAGGCTGACACACTACATATCGTGAGACGTGCTCACCAGTGCGGTCAAACAGCAGAGTACCAACCTCAGGTCAGCACTGCCTCGGTCCCAGAAATGTGTGACCTACATACAGGCAAATCCACGCTTTCTCTGTGCGCTTTCCCACTACTTTTCTGACGTGGATGCTACAGAGATCCCTTCTTCAAACTGCCAGTGAAATACAAAAGCTACACGAAGACACTCTGTAGAAAGAGTCCTGCAGAAAGGCATCGTTTCACAGCACCGTGAGTCTACTTACGGACGCAATATGACATGCCAACATCAGGTGTCTTGTCGCAGAACAACAGACAGCAATCCCTGTCAATACCACCGGTACCAAGCTGCGAGGACAAAAATCCATCTCATCAGTAGCCCATAATAAGCTGGATCCAGACGGGAACAGACTTTTACCGCTGCCACAGGCATCGAGTTCCCTGTGGTTCTGCAGGTCCCTACGACTCACAAAGGAGCTGCACAGGTACTCATCCCACAGCTCTAGGAAGCTATTGTAGTTCAACTGTACACTTGGGATGCTGAATACTAGTTAACAGAGTTGTCTGTGCTGCAATGACCTTCACGCAATCCCTTGCTCACTGATCTGAAGGCTGTCTTCTTAATTCTAACCCCATTTTCGACACAAGAAGGCACCAAATGCATCCTGCATTCTCAGCTAATCTGCAAGGGTGGTGCATAACAAGAGTAAAGAACTACTCAAAATCTTTATAAGATGAATTACAATGTTCCTGCAGTCTGAACCATGCCAGAGATCAGCATTATTTACTTCCTAAGTGGAAATGTTTCACTCATTGAAGCAAATACTCCTCCCTCGATGCTGTCTGGGTCATAATTATTGCAGGGAAGGATAGGTATAGCTGCCAGAAATGATTCGCAGAGAAAACATCAGTTTCCCATGGGAGTTTGAAGCTGAACAAATAATCCATTACAATACACAAGCATATTTTGAAATCCTGAACAAACGTTCTGACCTCATCTACTGTGACACAGGAACGAACAGCCCAGGTGTAACCTGTGAGTCCATTCTTGGGAAATCACGGCAATACTTAACTGGAACAAAGGGAAAATATTTTAGCACCTTCAGTCCGCAATATTTTAGTTGCAGTAACTTTTGCAACTTTCTGCCAATATTCAAACTGCTCTGTTGGTACAAGGTGCCCGAGAGGCAACCTAATATCCGCCTCGTAAGAGGCAAAGGTTGCTGCTGTACCGGATACACAGCAAACAGAACCGAACAGTGACGTAAAGAGATTTACAAAATTCATGCATGTAACTTGGTTATCAAGTTATTTGAACAGCATGGCAAACAGAGGGAGATGCAGGTGATTTTGTTCTGCTCTGTGTTGTTCTTTTAAAAGCAGCTTTTTTTTTTTTTCTTTGCACATATTTTGCAGATTGAATAGTCGTCTTGGGTGAATTACTCCACCTTAGAGAGCTTTGCCTGTCCTAAGGATGCTTCCTGAAGCGCAAATGCAAATTGCACCCTTTTTCCAAAGAGCAACACGAGTCTGCAAAACTCTGGTATTTAATATATCGAAATTAGTTTCCAAACATCCCTTGTGAACGCATGTGGAGATGGCTGCAGCGGAACTTTTATTACAGGGTCTTTTCCACAGCAGCTCACCTGAGCCTAAAATGCCCCAAGAGAAGTCATTATTACACTAAGCATTTTGGAAAATAACACCATTCCCCATTTCTTACTATTTTTATTCTCCTTGACCCTTCCTTCTCCTCAGGTAGAGTCTGTTATTTTGGATCTTATATCTCTAACAACTGGAGGTCTGCAGCACCCGACCCCTACCTAAGAGCTCACGCCACCTACTTACTTCCATCCTCTCGCTCTTAAGCGGTTTTCCAAGGAAATACGAAGCACACGCTTTAGGGCTACAAACCCCTAAAACTGACACAAGAACTCGATCCTTCGGCCCCAGCCCAGGGGCCTCAGGGCTGAAGCCCTGCTCCCACCCGCGATCAGGCGGGAGGGCTGCCGGGACAGCCGGCGCTGCGCCACGGCCCCGGTGAAC